GCTCTAGGCCTTTTAATCACTTGCATATTTTAATCACTTGCTGGTTCAAGTCCCGGCTGCTCCTCTTCCGATCCAACCGCCTGCTAATGGCCTGGAAAAGCAGCGGAAGATGGCCCAAGTGCTCAGGCCCCTGCTTCCACACGGGAGACCCTGAAGAAGCTCCTGGCTCCTGGCCTCGGATCATCTCAGCTCTGGCCATTGAGGAAGTGAACCAGTGGGTGGAAGACATCTCTCTCTGCCTCTAACTCCGCCTTTCGAATAAACATTTTTTAAAAAGAAGAAACCCATGCTCCTGCCACACCCAGGAGACAGCCTTGTCTGAATGCGTAGGATGAAATGCTGCTGGATTCATGGATCCCTGATAACAACCCAGTTGGATCTCTAAATTCCATTTGTTGTAACTTTGTCTCTCGACATCCCCGAAGCTGCCAGCACTGTCTCTCAGTAAACTCTGCTCTGGTTCTCCATGCTTGCACTTCATGTCCCTGCTTGGAATTCATCTGAGTCCAGAACTTGGAATAAATCCAGCCCCACCACACCTGGAGGCAGGAAGCTGGGCCCTTTGCCGTCATGACTGCTGGTTTTGGTCAGCTTGGAGGAGGAGGACACTCCCTTGGCCTTGTAGCTGAGCCTAGACCCAGTGCCTGGGATACGGTTCTAGTCTCCCGCGGTCTCCCAGACCCACTCCCTCAAGCTGGGTTGCCTTGTTCTGCAGATCAACCTCTTAAGATTAGCTCGGCCAGCGCTGCAGCTCACTAGGCTAATCCTCCGCCTTGCGGCGCCGGCACACCGGGTTCTAGTCCCGGTCGGGGCGCCGGATTCTGTCCTGGTTGCCCCTCTTCCAGGCCAGCTCTCTGCTGTGGCCCGGGAAGGCAGTGGAGGATGACCCAAGTGCTTGGGCCCTGCACCCGCATGGGAGACCAGGAGGAGCACCTGGCTCCTGGCTTCGGATCAGTGGCCGCAGTGTGCCAGCTGCGGCAGCCATTGGAGGGTGAACCAATGGCAAAAGGAAGACTTTTCTGTTTCTCTCACTGTCCACTCTGTCAAAAAAGATTAGCTCATGAGTGGAGGGCATGGTGCTCCCAGTCCAACAGGGGCCCTGAACAGAGGCATGAGATCATCTACCACCCCTAAAGATAACGATTTGACATGGAGTCTTAGTCCAAGCAAAGAATAACTTCCACTCGACTGGCTGGAGCCTACCTTGCCATCATCGAAATTCCCTGAAGAACACATCACTGCCCCATCAAAGGAGAGCCGTGAGTACTGTGGACCAACCAGAGACCTGGATGTGAGCTGAACACGCCCCTCTCAACCCCAGCCTCAATCCATAAGAACCCTTGCAATGTAACCTCTCAAGGAGCTCAGGGTTGAAGTCATAGCTGCCTGGGTCGTTGGTCGGTGCTTTGTATTAGACACCTGCTTTTCTCCGCCATCTTGGTAACTGGTTTGCTGTGCTTTGGGTGAGCGGATCCAGTTTTTTGGTGGGGGAGGCTATGGAGATTCGTCCAACCACTTTGAGAGTTTTTAAATGTTTTGTTAGGAAGTCAGATATGAGCTTATGTGTGTGTGTGACAAAGGCCTAAAGAAAAGACGTCTATGTCCAGCATATGCATCTGCATCTCAAAGTCATCCCGATAACGCTTCAGGGGCAGCCCAGTGTTCACATCCTGCCCTGTCCTCTTCTACCCAATAACCTGCCAGGTGGGGGTCCCTGCCCCTTCTGCCCGACAATCTTCCACAGTCTCCCAGATGCAGCCCAGTATCTGCATTTCAAATACCCTGCTCCAGACCTGGTCCGGATCCTGGGTTAGGACGGCGCCAGCTAGGCTTCCTCCTGTCTGATACCTTCAGGGGAAAATTCAGATAGGAGCTTCTTAATATTTACATCCATAAAATCCTTTGTTTCAGGAGGAGATGTGTGAAGACAAAGACCCATCTCCTTAAACCCCCCCCCCCCCCCCCCACCGGCCTCAACCGGACTGTGCGCTCAGCGCTCTGTCTAGCTGAGCCGCCCACCTGCCTGCCCAGGTGTAATCTCCCCACACAACCATGTAACCTTGCCCCCCCCCCCCAGTCTGAGCGACTGGGCACACTTTCTCAGGTCCTGTCTGGAGAGGTGCCCATCCTTTCTTGCGGATGTCCCTTCCCTAATAAACCTTGCTACTTTACTTTCCACTACTGTCTCATGCCTGAATTCTCTCCTGCGGGAAGACAAGAACCCTGCCATTCACTGGTAACAGTTTCTTTTATTTGAAAAGCAGAGTGATGGAGAGAGAAGCCTCTTTCATCTGCTGGTTCACGCCCCAAACGCCCACAACAGCCAGCGCCGAGCCAGGCTGAAGCCAGGAACTCGGCATTTCATCCTGGTCTCCCACAGGGGTGGCAGGAGCCCAGGAACTTGAGCCATCATCTGGTGCCTCCCAGGATGCGTGAGCAGGGTGCCAGATCCACAGCAGAGGAGCCAGGACTTGAACAAGCACCCTTTCCACCCAGTGGCTTAACCTGCTGTGCCACAGCGCCCGCCCCTATGGCTCCTGTGCGGCAAGCCGTGGTGCTATTGGACCGCACACTCAAGTCCCGCCCTAGGCACCCGTTCTCTCTGCTGAGGACAGAAGTTGAGTCAAGGACGAGATCTCCTCCGGATGTTGCAACACACAGGGACTTCCAGGCAAAGGCCCAGCTGGGGGGGGGGGGGGGGTCATCAGCAGGGGCCGGGCCCCAACATACCCCGGCAGAAAAAGCTTATGAATCTGCCTGAAAAAAAAACGCCGGGAACCCAGTGTCCCTCAGTCCAATTAATCCTTGGCATAAGCCGGGGCCACAGCTCAATAGGGTAATCTTCCACCTTGGAGTGGTGGCACACCGGGTTATAGTCCCGGTCGGGGCGGCGGATTCTGGCCCAGTTGCCCCTCTTCCAGGCCAGCTCTCTGCTGTGGCCAGGGAGTGCAGTGGAGGATGGCCCAAGTGCTTGGGGCCTGCACCCCATGGGAGACAAGAAGCACCTGGCTCCTGGCTTCGGATCAGCGCGGTGCGCCGGCCGCAGTGTGCTGGCCGCGGCGGCCATTGGAGGGTGAACCAATGGCAAAGGAAGACTTTCCTCTCTGTCTCTCTCTCACTGTCCACTCTGCCTGTCAAAAAAAAATTCTCGCCATTCCCCTAAAGGAACAAACTCCCCTGAGACGGGGGTGATGTGAAGTAGAAGAGGGAACTCTGCCGGGTGGGACATGTGAGGCTGCCGGACCACAGACCTGCCACGGGAACCAGGATTCTACCGCCCTGTCCTATCTGGTCAACCCCCTGAAACGGTCCTGCTGTGCCCATTTTACAGATCAGCACCACCTGCCGAGCAGGAAGCCAGGACCCAGGCCCAGGGAGGTGGGCTGCAGGCCACGCCCCGTTGTCCCGGGTGATTTCCCGGGGGATACACCCATGCCTGGGACATGCCAGGAGGCTCCCTCTGCAGCCCAGGCCCCACCATTTCCTGGCAGCCACGGGCTCTGCCTTCTCTCAACCCACACCCACTGCCCTATAGTACTTTGGGGAGCTGCTCAGTACCACCACCTCCAGGAAGCCCACCGGCACCAAAGTCCTTGGTCTTCCAGTCCTGTACACAGCTCAACAGAATCTGCCTGGAGAGGGGCACAACTCCTTTAAGATTGTTTATTTAAGAGGGAGCAGTGAGGGACGGGAGAGGAAGAGAGAAGTCCATTTGCTGGTTCACTCCCCAAATGCCTGCAGTGGCCAGGCTGAGGCCAGGAGCTGCATGCAGATCTCCCACGTGGGTGGCAGGGGCCCGAGCACTTGGGCCACCTTCTAGCTTTCCCGGGTGCATTAGCAGGGAGCCCGATCTGAAGCAGAGCAGCCAGGACTCAAACCCAGCACGCACATGGGATGCTGGCGTCTCAGGCAGTGGCTTAACCCACTGTGCCACCCAAGTCCCTGTTAATGTGGATGCCCTGGCCCAGTGTGCTTGACCACACCAAGAATCACCCAGGAGTCTCAGGTGCAGATTCTCAGGCCTGGGATGGAGCCCAGGACTCCAAACCTCCAACAACCCCCCACGTGACACCAACAGCGTGCACAGACCCCACTTTGCTGCCCTTAGCGGGCCCTGCTCCGAATGGACTTCAGATACCCATCTCCCTAGCTGAGACACACCTGAGCCCCACCTGCAGCCAGAGCCGAGGCGGCCCGCTAGTCACTGCGGGACTCCTGTGGGTTGATGCCCAAGGACCCCGCCCACCAGGTACCAGGCCCAGCTTGGCCAGGAGCAGCCTCAAGCTCACAGCAGGTAGCTACTGCAAATGTGACCTTCCCCCAAGGAGACAGGGCCTGGAGCAAGGCTGGGGCCAGCTCAGCGCAGCGGACAGCAAAACACACGAGGCCATCTCCCAAGGGAGACGGGGTCAGCAGGCCCCCCACCCCAGCCCACTCTCAGTTCCTGGGGGCCAGGACAGCAAGACCAAGGCAGGGCCCAGGCCTCCCAGCCCCTAGAGCCGAGAAACCCCTTCTCCCAGAGCCCACGGCCAGTTATTACCCAGAACAGTGCACTCCACAGCGCCCAGCTCAAGGCCATCGCCCCAGACGGGGCAGGAAGCAGAGCTAAGGTCCCTGCCTGATGGTACAGAACCAGCCAGCTCTGGACCTTGGGCCCCCTGAATGTAGATGGAGACCCTGCCCCCATGGCCCCTAGGGAAGGGGGATTGGAAGTCTTCTTGCTTCCCTGGCCCTGGAGTCAGATCCATGGGACCGGGAGACCCAAGCTTCGAGCTGGGAGGAGGCTGGCTGGGCCCCACCCTGCCTTTATCACCAGCAGGTTCCACGTGTCCCTGGGAGAAGGGGGAGCCCTGACCCCAGGAGGGACTTTGATACTTGAAGCCAGAGGCCACAGGTGGGCCTACCAAGCGCTGGCCTCTCACTGGCGATGCAATCGCTGGGCTCTGGGTGACAACTGACCCACTCCCCCCACCCATCTGTCCCCACTGAAGGACTCCCAGAAGTCATGATTTTTTATTGGGAAGCAGACCTGGGGTGGGAAGCAGCGTGGCGCCCCCTGGTGAGGCCCAGGACCACAGCAGCCACAGCCAGGAACACAATGGTGGCCATGCCGAAGCCCAGCACCAGGGTCGCCTGCGCAGCAGAGGCCAGCCCCTCTGTGCCGGCAGGGTCACCAGCCTTCCCCAGGAAGATCAGCGGGCCCACGGTGACGTCTGCTTCTTCCGTCACTGTGAGAGGCACAGAACACCCGAGTGTCACCTTGGTCCCTAGCCAGGAGTCCAATTGTAGGTTTAGCTCTTAGTGTAAAATCTACTGGTTTAGCCCATGAACAGTGGCATCAGCCCTGTCCACATGCCTACCAGCAGGGGCCCAAGCTCATGGCAGGGCTAAAGCAGCCGCCACCCGGGTGGGCACCTAGACCCCTTCCTACCTAGCCCCAGGGTTTCTGTGTAAGAGACAGAGTCTGCCTTCCCCTGGGGCTAGGCGGCCCTGACAGGGAACAAGGGTGGAGCTGCAGCTGTTGGCCAAGGCCACAGGGAGGGCAGTGGCTGTCCCACGTCATACCGTGCCTGCGGCTTCGCAGAGAGGACCGGGCAGCATGGTTCTGGTTCATGGGGGAGCCTGCGATGAGGTCACAGTCACCGTTGCCGCAACACTCACAGATGTCTGCACTGCCTTCCACCGGGGCCCAGCTGAGAGAGTAGTAAGAGAGCAGCTAAGGTCTGTGTGTGTCGGAGGGGAACAGATGCAGGGGGAGGGGGCGCTCAGGCTCGGGCCTGCTCACCTGCTGGAGGACTGGTTGAAAGAACAAGCCTTGTTGAGCCGGTCCGGGGCTTGCTGGGCAGGAATGACCCTCAGGTGACACGTGATGTAGACCTGGGAGAAACAGCAGCTGTGAGCAGACTGAGTTCCAGAGCGGAGCTCCAGGCTGTGCCAGTGACTTTAAATGTTTAAAAAGTTCTATTTGAAGGACAGCTACAGAGAAGTAGAGACAGAGAGGTCTTCCATCTGCTGGTTCATTCCCCAGACGGCCACAATGGCCGGAGCTGTGCTGATGTGGAGCCAGGAGCTTCTTCCTGGTCTCCCATTTGGGTGCAGGAGCCCAAGCACTTGAGCCGTATTCTACTGCTTTCCCAGGCCGTAGCAGGGAGCTGGATTGGAAGAGGAGCAGCTGGGACTAGAACTGGTGCCCATACAGGATGCCGGTGACTCAGGCCAGGGCTTTAACCCACTGTGCCACAGCGCAGGCCCCAAGAATTTTTCCCCTTGGTGAGCAGGCATTATGGTGCAGCGGGTTAAGCCCCTATAGATGACGCCTGCATCCCACAAGTGCCTGGTCCGAGTCCCAGCCATGTTGTTTAAGATCCGGCCTCCTGCTGGCACTGCGGCTCACTAGGCTAATCCTCCACCTTGCGGCGCCGGCACACCGGGTTCTAGTCCCGGTCAGGGCGCCGGATTCTGTCCCAGTTGCCCCTCTTCCAGGCCAGCTCTCTGCTGTGGCCCGGGAGTGCAGTGGAGGATGGCCCAGGTGCTTGGGCCCTGCACCCGCATGGGAGACCAGGAGAAGTACCTGGCTCCTGCCTTCGGATCAGCGCAGTGCGCCGGCCGCAGCAGCCATTGGAGGGTGAGCCAATGGCAAAGGAAGACCTTTCTTTCACTGTCCACTCTGCCTGTCAAAGTAATAAAAAAACCCGGCCTCCTGCTGATGCACACCCTGGAAGGCAGCAGGTAGTGGCTCAAGCACGGAGACCCGGCTGGTGCTCCCGGTTCCTGGCTTCAGCTTGGCCCAGCCCTGGCTGTTGCAGGCGTTTGGGGAGTGAACCAAACCCGAGCATGCTGACATGGGACACATCATTAGCTCAAACGCGCACCCTGCCACCAGCGGCTCTAACAAGACCCTTGATCCTCGGCAGGCTGCAGGACTAAGCCCCATCTCTAAAGTGGTAGGGGACAGGCGTTTGGTGCAGAGGTAAAGTTGCTACTTGGGCTCAGAGCCCATATTGCAGTACCCGATTCTGTTCCATTCTGGGCTCCTCAGCTTCCTGCTAGCGAGTGGGCGCCCTAGAAGGCAGCAGTGGCCCAGGTAGCTGGGTGCCTGCCAACCACATGGGAGACCCGGATTGAGTCCTAGGCACCCGGCTCCAGCCAACCCCAACCGTGACGATGGCATTGGAGACATCAGCCAGAGGGTGGGAGCTGTCTGTTTCTACCTTTCCAATGAAGCCAAAGGAAGCTCAAGGTTTAGGGGTTAATTCATCCAAAATTGCACAAGTAGCAAAGCCGATTCTAGACTAGAAGTCCATCTCTCCCAGACTCGCCCACTTCACGTGCTCCATCCTGGGCTTAAGGAATCAGACTTGGGGCCGGCGCTGTGGTATAGCGGGTAAAGCTGCCGCCTGCAGTGCTGGCATCCCATATGGGCGCCAGTTCGAGACCCGGCTGCTCCACTTCTGCTCCAGCTCTCTGCTGTGGCCTGGGAAAGCAGTGGAAGATGGCCCAGGTGCTTGGGCCCCTGCACCCATGTGGGAGACCTGGAAGAAGCTCCTGGCTCCGGATCGGCACAGCTCTGGCCTTTGCAGCCATTTGGGGACTGAATCAGCAGATGGAAGATTCTCTGCTTCTCCCTCTCTGTAACTAGGGCTTTCAAGTAAAATTTAAAAAAAAAAGGAATCGGACTCCAGGATGAGCCCGGGATGGAGCATTGCTAAGTCACCGCCCGTCCCTCGCTGCCTGCCCAGGTAGGGGGCGCCATACCAGCAGCAGCTTCTGCAGGGCTCCTACATCTACCACCTGCCCTTGACCGGCTGACACCCCCTCCCCCACCCCGTCCCAGGAGGAAGGCTTCCGTCGCCCTCTCAGCATCACTACCCACAACAGACAACTGCTTCTGTCCTTGGCTTCCTCCCAGCCATCCCTCTGGCCTTACCCGGAGCCAGAGATCCCTGCAGCTCTTCAGGCAGGTCGTCCTGGTCTCTTAGGGCTGTACAGCCATCCCTGCCACCCATGGTCAACACTGCCCTGCTAGTTGGGCACCAGCTCCATTTGCACCCCTGCTGCTGGCCACCCCCCTGACACTGTTTCCCCATCCTCTGCCCCACAGAGCCATTTCAACTCCCTACCCCGGCCAGGATCTTCCACCCTAACACCCCTTCTGTGGGCCAGGATACCTTCTGCCCACCTGTCCGTTCTCCCACCCCACTCGGCCCGCCAAGCGAGAGCTTCAGGCCCACTCTGTCTTGCTTCTTGCCCTCCTGCAGTCTGCCAGCCTGCGTGAAACCCTTGTTCTTCCTACAAGGCTGTGGAGGCCAGGAAGGGAGCATCGTGGAACAGTCTGCAAACTCCCCCTGGTGTCCCCAATGCTGCCCAGCCCTCAGTGGACTGCACAGCTGATTACTTGTTAGAATTGCCTGGCCCTGGGGCCGGCACTGTGGCATAGTGGGTAAAGCCACCACCTGCAGTGCTGGCATCCCACATGGGCGCCGGTTCGAGTCCTGGCTGCTCCACTTCTGATCCAGCTCTCTGCTACGGCCTGGGAAAGCAGTGGAAGATGGCCTAAGCCCTTGGGCCCCTGCACCCACAGGGGAGACCCGGAACACACTCCTGGCTCTGAAGCCGTTGCAGCCATCTGGGGAGTGAACCAGCAGATGGAAGACCTCTCTGCCTTTGAAGTAAGTACATCTTTATGAAAAGTCACCTGGTGGTAGGGAGGTGGGCATTTAGCCGACAGTTAAGGCACCTGCCTCCCAGTGTCTGCTCCAGCTCTCTGCTAATGCTGATCCTGGGAGGCAGCAGGTGTTGGCTCCAACACCCATGTGAGAGATCTGGATTGAGTTCCTGGATTGAACCCTGGACCCAGTCCTGGCCATTGACCCATTGTGGGTGTTTGGGGAGAACCACTGGATGGGGCACTCTAGCTTCTTTCAATGTAGAGAAAAAAAAAAAAAAAAGAGGCTATATTTGAAAGAAAGGCTGAGTGGCAGAGCAAGTTGTGCTAGCCAAGCTGAAGCAAGGAGCCTGGCCCGCCGTCCTTATCTCCTGGGCCCTAAGACTCCAACTATCTTCTGCTGCTTTCCCAGGCACGTTAGTAGTGAGCTGGATCATAGCCAGGACCCAAAGCCGCACTCCCCGCTACAGGCGGCTTAACCCAAGCTCCACAGCTCCAGCTCCACCTCCGGTTTTTAGAAGCAAACAATCACCTGATGTTTGTGACATCTGTTGCACTTCCAAGCAAAATGATAGAGTTTTGCTCAGATCATCCCTACCCCACCTAACGGTCGAACTCGGAGGCATTGACTTTAAACCTCTTCCAACTGCGTGTATGTGGGAAGCATCAGAGATAGGAGACAGGGGAGGCCAGGCCCCACCCTGCCAGGGGAACACCAGCCTTAGTTTCCCCTTTCCAGCCCAGTGCCAGGGAGCTAGCGCTGAGAACTGTTTTATTCACTTCCCCCTCACCGGTTCTGCTAACCGCCACCACCCCCACTCCCCACTCAGGGAGCTGGTGCGCGAGCTACCTGGTCTTCACTTGTGAGCCTTGCCAGCACCACCTGACCTGGCTCCAGGCCGGGCCCCCTGCCCCATCCCTGCCCGCCCTGCCCCATCCCTGCCTGCGGGAGGGAGCCATCCTCACCTCCCTCCCCCTCTTGGGCTTCAGGGGTAGGCTTATCTTAGTGGTTTGCTGAGTAGAAGTAGGTTCACCTGTAAGCTCCTTAGGACTGCAAAGCCCAGGCTCCTCCCAGACCCCCGGAGGTGGGGCCCAGACACCTGTCTGCAGGTGGAGCTGGCTCCTATAAATCCTGAGGCTACGCTGCCCAGACCTCCAGACCCGCCTTCTTTGCCCTTGGAGAAAGCCTGCAGAAGGCGGGACCTCTGCCCTGCTGGCCTTGGTGAGGACAAGGTCTCCAGACCTCATAGTTGTCGCTCGAGCTATCAGCTCAGTCTCCTGGTTCTCTGCTTGCCCCCCATTTCTAGGACCCCTGCCCCTCTCCATCCTGCAAGGTCTCCTACCAGCCTCGTAAGGCTCTGTTGCTCCTGCCTTCTCCAGGGAGACCTCGCTGCAGCCCATGGCTTGATCTGCTTGGTCCCTTGTCACTCAGATGGGGGCCCGAGCAGGAAGTCCTGGGCTGATGAGCTCTAAGGAATACCAGGGGGTTACTAAGCCCGACCCAGCGTCCCACCTGCTTCCAGGCTATAGAATAGACCAGAGTTACCGTGTGCCTGGAGTCATTAGCGAAGTGGAACACGGCCACCATGAACTGGAGCACGTCCGGCTTCGGCCTGGGGGCTTTGAACTTGGAAGCCCCATCGGAGAGGCCATCCACAAGACAGCTTGAAGGAGAGCAAGAGAAGGCCATCAGAGGTCGCGGAGAGGCCGGTCACCCCGCCAGGAAGGTCACCCAAGAGAGGGAGCCCCAACCCTCACCCGTGCAAGTCCACGATGGTGTGATAGGGGGAGCCGCTCTGGTCCCGTGTCGGGGTGGCCACGCAGCGATCCACGAACAGCAGCAGGGGCGGGTGGCTGCCCGTGCGGACCTCTGCCTGCAGGTGGGCCGTGTCGCCCAGGTGGAAGGTGGGGGACATCTTTTCTCGGCTCCAGTTCTCTGGAAGGCATAGCCGGGGCTGAGACAGCCCTAGGCTCTCACAGCAGCTCCCCCCAGGCAACCGCCACCCCCAGCTTACCCTCCATGAGGCGCAGGGAGAACACCAGCCTCTCCTCTGACAGTACCGTGGTCCAGAAGGGCACCCAGGTCGGCAGGATCGCCCGGCTGCTCACGTTGCCCTGCCTGGGAGAGGGACCAAGCTGCCCGGGCCTGCCCACTTGGGCCCACGTTGGGCCATGGCTAAGAACGGAAGCGCCAACAGACACCCAAGGCTGAAGCCAGTCCTTTACTGCACCCCCTCCCCCAACCTCCGCACCCACGAGTGGCCCAGTGCGTGCTGCGTGCCAAGGTATCCAAGCTTCCACACTTGGCTCCTAGACCCACATCTGCCCCTCTTCGGCTTCAGCCAAGTCTGGGGTCCGGGGCAGGGGGCCCTGCCTGTACTGCATGTCCTCCTCGGAATTCTTGAGCGGGGGCAGGGGTCAAGGTTGAGAAAGTCCGTTAGAGACAAGCACAAATGGGCTTTGGCCCTCCAGAAGCCAGCAAGAGAACCTGAGATCGTGCCGGGCACAGGCGGGTCCCTGGCCTGTGAGAGGGGGACCAGGTGGCTGCAGACGTCCACCCCACTGACCCAAGGTCAATGGGCAGGGGCTGCTCCTCCGAGTGACGCACCTGTGACGAGGTACCCGGAGCTGGTCAAAGCGTCCCAGCCTACAGCACGTCACCCCAGGGCATCTGCAGCCTGGAGGCTGGGTCCGTCTGCATCAGGTAGAGCTACTGAGTTCAGGGATGGCCATGGCCCCAGGAGGGCTGGCTCAGCACCCTGCCCTCGGCTCCTTAATCTCCCCCCACCCCGGCTGTCAGAGGGTGGGCCTCAGCTCCTCACCCAGTTCTCCACCTGCTCTCAGGTGACCCCCTGGGGCGAGAAGCAGTCCTCACCCGTCCTGGGTGGCGCTCACTGAGGGATCTCAATCTGAACATTGAGTCTGCTTGTCCTGCTTGCTTTAGGGACCCAGGCTGCTAGGGGCCCGCTGCCCTGCCCTGCCCTGGATGTGTGCCCACACGACCCTGCCCGGGGCAAGGGTGGTCATCCGGGAGCCTCCTCCAGGCCTGTGGCCGAGTCCTCGGGTCAGCACCTTCATGCCGGCATCAAGCCTCCAGCCTGCTCAAGGGCTGAGCATGTGCCTGGTATGGGACTCCACCTCATCTGTGGGAGCCACCGGCAGGGCAAGGCACACTCTTCACACCAGGGACCAGGGCCACGGGCAGAGGGCAGGTTGCAGGCCCAGGGCAGAGGGCAGAAGCCACCGTAGCACAGTTGGCCTCCCAGGAGCTGGGCGCACCCCCTGCAGCTGCCCCAGATGCATTTCAAGGGCTCGGAGTGGACCCGGCAGATCCCGCATTCCCACCCGGGGCACAGGGCAGGGGCCGCCTCACAGCCCTGCTGTCACGTCCGGGGCCCTCGCTCCAGGGTGCACGCGGCCGGCCAACCGTCCCACACCAACCTGGGGTAGCGGCACTCGATGGGGACCTCGGCGCGGTTGGTCCTGAGGATGGACAGGTTTCCCGCGGGGCGGGGGTCGTGGAGCAGGAAGGAGCTGTACACCAGGGAGTCGTCAGTCACCTGAAGGGAACGGGAGGGGTGAAGCCCACCAGCGTCACAGCCCCCAGGACGCTCCACCCCTGCGAGGATGCAGTGAGGGTGAGCAGGTGTGTGGGGGCGGGGAGGACTCAGGCTCTTCTGCTGGCCAGTTGGGGGGGGGCAGGGGACAGACAGGACTGAGGTCTGCATCAGCTCAACAGCGCCCAGCCACTCTCCCCTTCTCACAGGGGTTCCTTTCTCGGGGTGGGGGTGGGGGGAGGCTCCAAAGCAGCAGCCTGAGTCCCAGGAACTTGAACTTCCTGCACACCTGTCACCGTTCTGCCCTACTCGCAGGCCCATTTCACAGAAGGGAAGCCGGAGGCAGGAGAGCACAGGCAGGTGCAGCTAGGGCAATCGGCACCCCCCCAGGGGGCCTGCAGAGGGAGGAGGAGGGGCCTGCCTAGGGAGAGGAGCACCTGGGGCGCAGGTGGCCACCCGGCCCCAGCCTCAGCCTCCAGCCCCTGGCAAACCTTGAGGGGCCCCTCGTCAAGGGTTAAGGACTGCAGGTCAGGGCAGGCACAGGGCCCGGTCGGCCGGCCATGGTCCTGGGGACGCAGCAGTGGAGAAGGAAGCAGCTGGGCTTTGCTGGGCCTTGAGGTCACCAGGGGTTGCAGGGCAGAGCCCCGTGCCTGGCTCTGGTTTAGCGCCCAGCGCAGCCTGGACAGTGGCATTTCGGAAGCCTCCCACGTGCTCCTAATGCGTGAGGCTTGGGAGTCACCGAGCTTTAATTATCCCTCAGATAACTCCTGGCTGCTCGGGGGTCCCCCTCTCCAGGGAAACAAGGACCCCCACCTGCCACCAACACCCGAGCCTGGAAACCACACGTGGGATCGGAGCTCCGGCTGGAGGCTCCAGGGCCCAGCTGGCCCCGCCTCGGCCAAGCTCCAGCTCCAGGATTGGGAGGATGGGGGAGAGCCCCCTTGTTGTGGTCTGAGCCCGTTTCTCCACTGACTTGGGGGAGAGGGGCTGGTCTGGATGCTGAGGTCTCTTGCCTCCATGAGCCCCGTTGGCTCGGAGTCACCTGCAGGGAGCCAGTCAGCAGCATCAAGGCCTGCAGGACAACCCCGCTCCACTTTTTCCTCCAAGCTTTGCACACTGGCCTCCCTCGGCATGTGGCAGCTCAAGCTGTGCTCACATCAGCATCTCATGCCGGAGCACCTGGCTGCCCCACACCCAATCCAGCTCTCTAGTGTGGCTGGGAAAGCAGTGGAGGATGGCCCAAAGTCCTTGGGCCCCTGCCACCCATGTGGGAGACCCGAATGTAGTTTCTGGCTCTTGGCTTCAGCCTGGCCCAGCCCCGGCTGTTGCAGCCATTTGGGGAGTGAACCAGCAGATGGAAGATCTCTCCCCTCTCCCCTCTCCCCTCTTCCCCAACCCTCTTTCTCTTGAGACAGTTTGGAAAGTCCAACTGACATAGATAAAGAGGTCTTCCAACTACTGCTTCACCCCACAAGTGGCCACAACAGCTGAGGCTACACCAGGCTGAAGCCAGCAGCCATCTTGGTTTCCTGCATGGGTGCAGGGGCCCAAGGGCTTGAACCATCTTCTGTTTTCCCAGGTGCGTTCGTAGGAAGCCAGGTAGGAATGGGATAGGAAGTCTCTCCTCCGAGTTCCCAAGGCCTCCAAGCCAGTACCTGGTGGACCCTCCTCCCCCAGTGCTGGCCATGGAAGAAGGCTTAAGTCCTCAGGAGTTAGGGGGGTACCCCCTGGAGGGGCCCCCAAAGCACGGCCACCCCTGGACTCCACCCCACCTATCTGATTTCCACAACGCCAGGCAGGGAGCTGCCCACTGCTGCTCCACCTGCCTATAGACAAGCGAGAGGGGTCTGCCCCAGCTGACCCCCTATGGCTCATACAGCCACAGTACCCGCATCCGCCCACCAGGGCCGGGGAGCCCCAAGCCTCACCTGCACGCTGTTACCACATTCATGCAGCCCGACCTCGAACCTGACCACGGCGTCCGTGGAGGCCTGGGGCTCGCAGCCCTCGGGGCCCAGGCTGAGGTCGGCCTCCTGGATGAGCTTCCCGGTGCCAAAAAGGTCCCTGCTGACCGTGACCACGAGCCGGGCCTCCAGACACTCCACCACCACGGGCGTCACGGAGGGCGCGGGCTGGCGGGTCCCGCCCTGCCAGAACCAGAGCGGCTGGGGGCAGCACAGCTCCGAGCCTCCCCAGAGCAGTAGGCAAACGAAGAGCCCGTAGCTCAGCCCCATGGTGCCGACAGAGTGGCGGGCAGCCACCGGCCAGCCATCTTATACCCCAGGGAACGACGGCCGGCTCCCACCTGCACGTGCACCTGTCTCCCTGCCCCAGCAGTTGCAAAGCAAGGCCCAAGGTCAGAGGGCATCACGGACACCTGCGAGGGGAGGGGCGTGAGCTCCCTGCCCTGCCCCGCCCACTGACCAGGAACCTGGGTCTCAGCTCCGGAAGCCCCTGGTGATTCCCATTGGCCTGCAGCCCACTCAGCCCTAACTTCTCACCACCTGCCCGCTGCCACCCACAGGTGCAGCCCAGGCCATGACAGGTCCGCGGGCCATGAGCGGGTGAGGAAGGCTTTGACTGAAGCCTGGGGAGATTGGATTCCAGTGGGAGAGCAGAGGAGGGGAGCCTGAGAGGCCTCGGCAGACTCCACGCCTCCTCCGCGGTGGGCAGCCCCTGTGGGCCACGTGCACATTGTATATATATTTTTAGTGGTTTTATTTTTGGGAGAAGTCTCACTTCACCTGCTTCAAGGGATGGGCCTTTTTAAATGAACATTTTTCTTTTTAAAATGTTCATTTTTTTAAAGATTTTATTTATTTATTTGAGAAGTAGAGTTACAGACAGAAGGAGAGACGGGGATTCACTGATTCACTCCCCAAATGGATGCAATGGCCAGAGCTGGGCCGATCCTAAGCCAGGAGCTTCTTCTGGGTCTCCCACACAGGTGCAAGCGCTTGGGCCATCTTCCACTGCTTTCCCAGGCCACAGCAGGGAGCTGGATCGGAAGAGGAGCAGCTGGGATTAAACCGGTGCTCATATGGGATGCCAGTGCCACAGTTGGAAGATTAACCTATTGCGCCACAGCGCTGACCGCTAAAATGTTCATTTTATTTGAAAGTCAGCAGAGAGAGAGAGAGAGAGAAATCTCCCATCTGTTGGTTCACCTCCCCCCCCCGCCCCCGGATGCCCACAGTGACCAGGAGCCTGGAACTCCATCTGGGTCTCCCAGGTCAATGGCAGAGACCCAAGGGCTTGAGCGCCACCTGCTGCTTCCCAAGGTGCAACAGCAGGGAGCTGCCATTGGAAGCAGAGCTGGGACTTGAACCGGGCACTCTGATATGAAATGTGGGTGTCGCAAGCAGACGCTTAACCTACTGCAGCAGAGCCCCCCCCCCCATGCTTATCCTCTCGTTCCACTTTCCGCAGGCTTCTTGAAGTGGCCCCATTCTTGGGCAAATGCATGCGATGTTAGTGGTTTGGAAATACTGCTTTCAATGCCCCTGGCTGCACAGATCGGGCGATGCCTGCTAACCCGACCTTTTCACCTTCACTCTTAGTATGTTGTAATACAAGTACCCAGGTGGCCGGCGCCGCGGCTCACTAGGCTAATCCTCCGCCTTGTGGCGCCGGCACACCGGGTTCTAGTCCCGGTCAGGGCGCCGGATTCTGTCCTGGTCGCCCTCTTCCAGGCCAGCTCTCTGCTGTGGCCCGGGAGTGCAGTGGAGGATGGCCCAAGTGCTTGGGCCCTGCACCCCATGGGAGACCAGGAGAAGTACCTGGCTCCTGGCTTCGGATCAGCGCGGTGCGCCAGCCGTAGCGGCCATTGGAGGGTGAACCAAGGGCAAAGGAAGACCTGTCTCTCTGTCTCTCTCTCTCTCTGTTCACTCTGCCTGTCAAAAAAAAAAAAAAATACAAGTACCCAGGGACCAACGCTTCCATTGAGTTCACATGAGAGACAGGTGGCTCAATTCATCCACTTACTGGCACTAAGCAGGGCGGGGGTCAGCTCAGGCAGAGGCAGCTGTGAGGAGAGGCGTCCTGGGGCCCCGGCTGGGCCTGGGGACATCTTGGAGCTCCAGGTCTTGCTGAAGCCTTAGGCAGGCTCTGGCCGGCTCCTGGCGGGAAGGGGGTCCCGAGATGAGAGTCTACTGCACCAGTCCTAGCAGGAGACAGCGCAAGACTGACAGGTGCAGCCCTTGCTGACTACATTCTCTGTGCTAGAGCACAGAGGGGAGGGGAAATTCTCACATTCATGGTGTGTAATTCCTGGGGACAGAAGTACACGTTCATTTGCAAATATTTGCTGCTTCTTCCTTTTTTGAAAGATTTATTTATTTATTTGAGAGGGAGAGTTACAGACACAGAGAGGGAGGGACACCAAGAGAGGTCTTCCATCCTCTGGTTCACTCCCCGGATGGCTACGATGGCCAGGATTGGGTCAGGCTGAAGCCAGGAGCTTCTTCCAGGTCTCCCACGCGGGTGCAGGGGCTCAAGCACTTGGGCCACCTTCTGCTGCTTTCTCAGGCCATAGCAGAGAGATGGATGGGAAGTGGAGCAGCCAGGACTCGAACCGGTGCCCGTTCGACGCCAGCGCCGCAGGTGGGGGCTTGGGCTGCAGAGAGAACCTGGCGAGAGCTCAGATGAGGCGCCCCTGCAGCCCGAGGTTCCCAAGGGGCAGTGAGCTGGACGGGCTGCGTCCCCGGAGCGCGGCCGCGCTGGCACGCAGCTGTGCAGGTGTTGCTGGGAATAGGGTGGGCGGGGCTGGGAATGGGAGACCAGGGCTTCCCAAGGCTGCACATGCACCCTCAGCTCTCAGAGGACCCCAGAGAAAAAAATGGGAAGAAATCGGCGAGTGTGGGTGTGGAGAGTCTATGCCCACGACGTGAGTGGAGCTGCATTCCCCTTCGTGAGAGAGCGGACTGCAGGACTCCTAAGGCTGCGACCAGGGAGGGAACAGGCCCAGCACCTGCGGGGTGGAAATGTTAGATCTTGTGCATTTTTCAGAGATGTGCTGCCCCCTGGTGGCAACAAGGCACCAACCATGCAGAATCCAACAGTATTTTCCTTGAGCCTAGATACTTTTTTTTTTTTTTGAAGAATTATTTATTTATCAGAAAGGCAGAGTTTCAGAGAGGCAGAGAGAGAAAGAGAGAGAGAGAGAGAGAGTCTTCTATCTGCTGGTTCACTCCCCAAATAGCTGCAACGGCAGTGCTGGGCCAATACAAAGCCAGGAGCCAGGAGCTTCTTCTGGGTTTCCCTGGTAGGTGCAGGGGCCCAAGCACTTGGGCCATCCTCCACTGCTTTCCCAGGCCATAGCAGAGAGCTGGATCGGAAGTGGAGCAGCCAGGACTTGAACCTGCACCCATATGGGATACCGGCACTGCAGGTGGAGGATTAGCCTGCTAAATCACAGTGCCAGCCCCTTTGTTTTATTTTTTTTAAGATTTATTTGAATGGCAGAGTTGGAGAGAGAGGGAGAAAAAGACACACCACACACACACACACGTGCGCACACGCACACACACACTTCATTCCCCAAATGGCCACAATGGCTGGAGCTGGGCCAGGCTGAAGCCAGGAGCTTCTTCCAGGACTCCCACATGGGCACAGGGGCCCAAGCGCTTGGGCCATCTTCCGCTGCTTTCCCAGGCCATTAACAGGGAGTTGGATGACAAGTGGAGCAGCCGGGACTTGAACCGGTGCCCATATGGGATGCCGGTGCCACGGGTGGATACTTAACCACTACACCACAGTGCTGGCCCCTCCCTTAAGTTCAGGGTTCCTGCTGGGGGAGCCGTATCACTCCCTCAAGTTGATAAAGTCTTTGAGTAAAATCAGGGCAAGGAAAGTGAGCTAAGGAGGGGGGCTGGGGGGCAACGGGAGGCCAGACCCGCGGGCACCCAGCAGACAGGGCCTCCTTCCACCTTGGGCAGCACCTGCGAGGGGTGTGGAGGGCCTCCCTGCCCACACGGGGAGCCTGTCCCTCAGGGTTGATGCGGGTTAGGGCACTCGGGGACTCCAGGGTTGGCTAAGGGCTGTCTCAGATCAGGCACGCTTGGCTGCCCTGCACGGGGGTGGAGCTCCATCCAGGCTTCCAGAAACCTGATTCCTGGGGTGGGGGCAGGGAGGGGGTACAGAACAGCCGGGAGAGGAGGGGCCCTCCCCCACACCCCATCTCCTCCTCCGCCCGCCTGGCACCCTTTCTCTGGGGCCGACTCCGGCTGTGCAGGCCACCTCCGCGGTCCCTTCACCGCCCTCTGCCCCCAAGGTCGGGTGGGGACAGGCTGGGGCCACCGGCCAGCCCCATGGACAGGGACTCTGCCCCTGCTCGCCTTGCAGCCTCGGAGGGGAAAGAGGAAAGGGCCGTGGCCACCTGCGTCTGGGGGTGCCTTCCCCCTCTTAAACTTCCGGGCACGGAGACGGCGACTCCACCTCGCACGGACTGTAGGAGAAGGGACGGAAAGAGTCCAGAACATTCCGCCAGGTATGAGCCCTTCACGGTGCTGATGCATGTGTGTGTGTGTGTGGGTGCGCGCGTGTGACAAGTTTCCCATTGATCAGTCTGGGAGGTGTCCTTGGCCATCTCCTGGGTCCCTTCTGACTGCTTCATTCTTAGATTCTGCAGCCATAAACCTCAGTCAGTCATTCAACAAACATGTTCCGGGTCTGTACTCAGGGCCAGGTATGATCCAGCTCCCACCCTCAGAGGTGCACAGTCTAGAAGGAAAGACGGTCAAGACAATGGCGTCCACCCTGATGCTTTGCCAGACACTGGGCTAACACTTTTGCGAACATCAGCTCCTTTAGCCTAGCAACAGCTGTGAGGGCTGAGTGACTCCCACAGAGGACAGTGAGGCTGGCAGGTGCGTCCTGCTGCCTGCCCGCACCTGGGTGACAGGTGCACGTACAGAGAGCAGAGAGGGAACCAGACAGCCTCGGGGGGCCACAGTCACCAAGAGCACTGGCAAGGAGGAACCCCCAGCCTGACCGTGGTCCCCAGGGTGGGAGGCAGGAGCAGGCCGGGGCGGGGGAGCAACTTCCGGTCTGAGGAGGAGGGAGGTGACCAGGCTTCATGAGGTCCGTGAAGACTGCTGGGGTCAGCCGGAATCTGAGGTCCCTGGGGGTCAGGATTAGGGGTCCTTCTTCCATGCTCCTGGGCTGGGTTGCCGGGGGCGGGGGATTGAGTGGGGGAGGGGGCTCCCAAGGATTCCTGGAAGTTGTCCCTGTACTC